TTTATTTCTTTTGCAGGTCTTTGTATTTTGTGATGATGTTGGTGGTGATGATGATTTATTACTTTAAATTATCATCAATTTGTTACCAAATTCCTAAATACATTATCATTGATTTCTTTTTGGCACTGTGTTTCCTAAAAGACAAAATAGGAAGTGCTGTTTGCATTTGTGTTTGTGATAGGATCCTTTGATAAACTGTAGCACTGTATTTTCCCTCCTGCTAAATTTAGAACCCACAATCAATATCAGGACTTGAATAATTGTAAGCTAAGTATCTCCTCAGATAAATATGCAGTGAAAAGAATTGATTGGTTTTCCTTTCCACCATCGCAAATATTTTGATATTTTCGGCTTTGAAATTTTAAAAAGTTTTAAAAAAAAAAAAAAAAAAGAAAATGAGCAGGTTGTGAGTAAAGAGCACATTTTGCCTCTTATTTTCCTCAAAGAGAATGATAGATGTTCATATATCTGGGGGAAAAAAATGATATTTACTCAAAAACAAAGACTGTGGTGAGGAAGAGTTATTTCTACAGAGAAAAATCTCATTGTCTGAAATAAGCAACATGATTGTTTTTAATCATTCGTATTCTGGATTACAAATTTATGACACTAATATAATGATTTACATGGGATAAAATAATAAAAAAACACATCTTTGTATGACCCAGACTTCAGTAACTTCTATAAGATGTGTTCATGGCTACTAATTTAGATGGATTTTGAAAAGGACTAGACAAATACAGGAGATAAAGACTAGGGATTAATTGTGGACAATTCTGCTTTGTGGATTTTCTGGTTAGTTCAAAAAAAAAAAAAAAGGTTGCAGAAGATGGAATTTTGACTTGATTTACTAAGCTCATGATATCTTATAGAATTACGTTCTCCAATCTGGTGCCTTCCAAATGTATTCTGCCAGAATTCCCAGCTAGATAGGTTAAAAAAAAAATGCAGCCAAAATTTTAAAAAGTGAAATTCAGCATAACTGGAAGGCACTATAGCAGAACTGACCAGAGTAACTATAAACCTTGAATTCAATTTGGATACAACTGTCTGATTTTTTTTAGCTTTGATGATGACGATGCTAAAGTTTTAGAGGATTGGACATAGCTGAATATAACATTGGGGTTAGGTGTGTCTGCCTATGTACAGGTAGTCCTTGCTTAGAGATTACAATTGGGACCGGCAGCTCCATTGCTAAGCACTGTGGTTTCTCAGCAGTGTGATGTTGTTTCCCATTTGGTGATTAAATGAATCATCATGGTTGTTAAATTAGACTGCAATTTGCAAATGTTTACTTTCATGTCTTCCATGAACTCTGCTTATAACTTTGAATGTTTGCTAAACAAGGCAGTCAGTAAGTGAAGACTATCTGTATTAAAATGCATGCACCATTTCTAGAAAGCAAATCATATAGCTTTTTATAAACTTTTGCACAGTTTCATGCATTCCCAGACAATGCTGAATTGGGAAGCTTTTAGAAAAAGTGCAGAATATTTAAAACAGATTAGAATGGAAATGTATAGGAGAATGTCCAGTTTAATCTGCTCTGGGACCACAATTCATCAAAGCTTCTTTAAATAAGAAGCATTAGCATACTTAGCCCTTTGTGATCACTACATAGCAACCCCTGTATAATTTAACAAAGTATAGTTATGTAATTGCAAATGGGAATCACATTTTAAAAATTTATTCACCAGAATTTATTTACACACCTGTCTTTTAACATGTTTTAGAAACACATTCATTGTAAGAGAATCTCAGCTGCTAATATACTTTTTGCTACTGAAAGAACATGCAGTTTATATTTTCAATAGATCTCTGACATACCAGTTTTTCTTTCATGATTATAGATACGTGTTTTATTGAATTTTAGATCAAAAGATTAATGTAATTTTATACCTGCAACTGTATTGAAGGAAATTGGAAACTTAAAAAAAGGACCTGCAGCTTATTCTACCCAGATAGTAGATTTTATCACTGACATTTCAGACAGAGATAAATGGTTTCACTTGATACTACTTTGTATTTTTTGCTATGTGGTGTCAGAACTGCATTGGTTCACCAAGAATGAAAAACAAAGAAAAATAAGCTCAATGAAAATCTTTAAACATACTCAGTGCAGAACCAACTCTGCTTGGAGGGGAAAAAATGAGTATTTTGTTGAAATCCACACATTTTCAAGTTGCCAAGAGAAACACTTGTGTATATACAGTACAATCTTCTGAATCAGAGTGAATGCCTTAAATAGTTGCTAAAGAGTGATGCTATTAGAAGACTGCCCATGCTTATGAGGTTCCCGAATGCCTCTAAATTGTTCTCTCTCTCTAATATAGAATGCTGGATTAGATGGGATTGACTTTCCTTATATTCTTAATTGGTCAAATTTATCTATGTTTGGTATCCTAGTATTAGCATTATTAGTATTATCCTAGTATTCATGTCAGTTTTATTTCTGTCAGATGTTGATTACTTTTCTATTTTTGCAAAGTTGTAATAAATACACATCAGAGTTATTTTCTCTAGCAAGACTACATTGGAACAAAATTAAATAAGCATGCCAATTGGTCTGCTTCCACATGATTGCAATGTTTCAATGATAACCTTTCCATGACTGTCCTCAGGATTTCTGCATTCCATGTACATTTCATGTGCTGTATTTGTTAAAATTTCACAAATTTGTCTCCTTCAGACAAATTCTCTTTATTTTCTTTATAAGCCTGGAGAGGAAGTGAATTTTCTTTTATGTGGGGAATCAGGTGACTTAGACTGCCCTTTTTGCAGGAAAATGTCTACAATTCTAACTTCAGGTTTTATTTCAAAGCAAGGTAATTCAGTTTAAGAATTTGATTCTAAAAATGTTCTTCAGATTTTTTTTATTTGAAAAGATTGTCTTGCAAGTATACTTCACAGTGCATATATTATAATATTTAAAAGTTCTGAGGAATAATAGTGAGCAAAGTAAATCGAAATTGAAGCTACTGGAGAAAACATAAGCAAATCTTCATCAGCTGTAATTAACATTACTGTAATGATTACTAGGCAGTTTTTAAAATATAAAGCTAACCCAACATTTCGTGAACTTTAATTTATGAGCAAAATGTCCAGATCTGACAGCCTTTTAAAAACTAAACAATTCAGAAAGGTTTTCCAATTTTCATCTAAGTTTCTGGTGCTAATCTGAGATGATATTAGAGCTGCTGATATATTATTACACATACATTTTTACAGTTTCAAGAAAATGCAGAGTTTTGAAAGTTAGTGGAAACTAATCAAGGAGAGAAGCAACCTAGAACTACGGAGAAACTTCCTGACAATGAGAACAATTAATCAGTGGAACAACCTGCTTCCAGAAGCAGTAAATGCTCCAACACTGGAAGTTTTTAAGAAGAGACTGGACAGCCATTTGTCCGAAATGGTGTAGGGTTCCTGCCTGACCAGGGGGTTGGACTAGATGACCTCCAAGGTCCCTTCCAACTTTACTATTATTATTATTATTATTATTATTATTATTATTACTGATTAGATATGGATCAGGTTTCGAAAGAATTATCCTGTTGACCCTTTGTATGTTTGGAAAAAATAATTTTCAAAGAAAATCCATGTAATTGCAATCAGGTGAAGAGATAATGACATTGATTTAAGTGGAAATTAAATGCAAATGAGTACATAGGATGAATCAGTAGCAAAGATTACTTTCAACAGTTCTCTTTGTCTCTTGTTTAAGGTATTATTTTAGTTCTACTGCATGTAAAAAATTAACACTCAAATTCCTGTAGGCGCTGATCTAATACATAGTACTTACAATCTAGATGGATGTACTTATTAGAGCTTAAACAGAGACAATTCATTTTAGTCCCAATGTTGCAAAGCTGCTCTCAACAATTAAAATGTGATCAAACTAGGCATTTAAATATGCATTCTAAGAAAAAAGGTAAAAATTTAAACATATAATTGCATAAATACACAATTTGAAAATAGACTATGTAAAAAAAAACTATATCAAGAGTGAAAACAGTGTGAAGATAATATGGACTAGAGATAAATTCAGTCATTTTTACTGGATATTAGAAGATATTATGTATTTCAATACATAAAATTTTAACTCTTTTGATGCTGTTTGCACTCTTTTCCAGGCTTTGTGGGGTCCTTGGTGCTCTCTAAACTTGATTAGTTTATAGGTAGACATTTCATTATCCAACTAGTTAATATCATCCTACCAGCAGACAAAGGCCAAACCATGGTGATCATGAATAGATCACAATATATACAAAAAGCTAAAGAATTACTGGAAGACAAAGTCGAGCACTGATGATCTCACCTGGCTGGGTAATTGAAATGTCTGCAAGAAATCAATCAAGCTCAGAGAGCACCAAGGATCCCATGGTTCAACCCTCAGCTACAAGTATTCTTTTCTGAGCTTTTTAATACTATATGGAGGCCGACATATAGTATAATGGGGACTATATGCCAAAAACTGGTTAAAAGGTAAAGAACTAGGCATTGGGAAGAAAAAATTAAATTGGATTTAATTTTAATGTAACATTAAATAGGGTTAAATATAAATAATTCAATATTAATTTAACTAATATGATCACTCCTGTATATATAAACAATTATATTTCCTAAAGCATAGAGAAGTTGTAAGAGACCTAGTTGAAGATCTAGCTTAATATTGCATAGAGCCTGAGGTAACATTCCACAAATGGTCCTAAAAATATTGTGGAATTTCGAGGTGCGCTGAGGGGAAGAATGAAGAAGCTGGCTAACCTTGAGTCTCTGATGGGAAGGAAGCAGCTGAAAAGAAATCGATGTATATCTAGTAGTTTGGTGTGTGTGTGTGTGAGAGAGATTTAGTGTGGCCAGATTCCTATCTATAGATGAGTAACAATAAACATACCACTCTGTTCAGCTCCTTGTGTCTCTCCTTGTTCCTTGCACCTGACAAACATATCCTTAAAAAAGGAAGATGGCCAAAGCATTAATCCTCTCTTTCTTTTTAGTAGAGGTGCTGAGAACCGGCATGGCTTTCGCCAACAGACTGTAGTTAGAGAGAAAGGCAGGAGATCTGCTGTTCGAGGCCCAGCATATATGTTTAATGATCATTCAACCAGCCTTTCTATTGAGGAAGAGCGTTTTTTGGAAGCAGCAGAGTATGGCAATATCCCTGTAGTCCGTAAAATGCTGGAGGAATGTACTTCACTCAATGTGAACTGTGTGGATTACATGGGCCAGAATGCATTACAACTGGCTGTAGCAAATGAACATCTGGAAATCACAGAGCTGTTACTTAAGAGGCAAAATTTGTCACGCGTTGGAGATGCGCTACTCTTAGCCATTAGCAAAGGCTACATCCGAATAGTTGAAGCCATTTTGAACCATCCCGCATTTGCAGAAGGGAAGAGGCTGGCCACAAGCCCTAGTCAATCAGAGTTGCAACATGATGACTTTTATGCCTACGATGAGGATGGAACTAGATTCTCCCATGACGTGACCCCAATTATCCTTGCTGCCCACTGCCATGAGTATGAAATTGTGCATATCCTGCTGAGGAAAGGAGCTCGGATTGAGAGGCCTCATGATTATTTCTGCAAATGCAGTGAATGCAACAAGAAGCAAAAGCATGACTCTTTCAGCCATTCTAGATCCAGGATCAATGCTTACAAAGGTCTAGCAAGTCCAGCTTATCTATCTCTGTCAAGTGAGGACCCAGTCATGACTGCCTTAGAACTCAGCAATGAGTTGGCGGTGCTTGCAAACATTGAGAAAGAATTCAAGGTAAGATTTTAATTAATGAATTGTCATTACATAACCTCTTTTGGAATAGAGTAAATCTCTTAAATTCTTCTCATTACCATAACAAAACACATAAACTATAAAAAAGATTTTAAGAAAGTCTTAAAGTAGACTTTGAAGGTTTGACTCCCATATTTTGCATTCTAAGTTAGATGTGAAAAGAAATTCAGTCACGTATATTAAGACAGTTTGCAAAGTTAAAGCTAATATTGGTATTAATTACTAATACTTTTCTGGGGGCATGATGGCTCAGCAGTTAAAGACTCTAAACTTGTCAGCTGGAAAGCTGACAATTTAGATTTGAGACCCGAGCACTGAACAATATGATTCATAGAAAATCATAAATCATAGAATGTGAACTTACTCTCCTTGTAATTCTTAGAGAAACTTGCATGCAAGGCAGGACTTTTAGAATAGTCTGTTTAAGACAATTTCTCATTTTTGCTATTCCATAAATTAAAATGTATTGAATTAAAACCCATGTGCTCCGTCTGCCTTTTACATGAAACAGCTGAAACCACAATTTAAGGGAAAACAACTATACTTCATTCACAAAACAGAAGATCAAAAGAAAAGCATGTTCAAAGTAGCTTACAGTAGTTTATAGTTTTTTTCCCTGCAAGCTAAAACTTGATAATAGCACTGCAATAAAATCTGTATCAGATCCAAAGAATGCTGTTGATCAGAGTGACCTTTTCTATTCTCCGGGCAGGGGAGGAAAAAAAAACCAAAAACCAGAACTGCAGAACCATATTCCTATGTTGGGTTTCCTATTATATATCACCCATAACTTACTTCTCTTATTAAGTTTGTAATTGACCATAAAATCCAGGGCTTCTGTTCCTTGATTGTTCATTACCTGATCATTCAATTATGCTTTAGTCATATTTTTATTAGATTCCATCTTCCTTACACAAGCATCATTGGGGGTTTTTTGGTAAGATCTGCAGAAGCCTTCCATTCCTTCCTCCTAGTTTTCAGAAAATCAGCAAACAGTTGGTTATTTCATCAGAGCTGCTGTGACTATCTCTGTGGATGATGAATTTGCCTTATTATAATTAGACAATTGATCCATGGTTTTTATAGTACGGTAAATGATTTTATTTTTAAAATCTGATTACTCTTCTCTCTGATTTGATTCATGGACATGAGGAGTTATACAGCACTCAGTAGATGAGATCAGTCCTGCAAATATTTATTTATTTAGTAAACACATTCACCTAATCCCTTTTTGATGTAGTCAGAATTGCTCAATATGGAACCTATGTTTTATTATCTTGACCACTGTCCTACATTATTTGAAGTTGTGCAGTATAAAAAATATGTTTCGAAGGCCAAAAGTCGTCTGTCCATCCGTCTGTCCATCCATCCATCCATCCATCCATCCATCTATCTATCAATCAATCAATCATGCTGCCCATTTCACCAGAGGTGACTCGAGATGGCTGATAGACATTCAGTTAAAATGTACTCTAAAACATTTAAATAATAAATAAGGATCATAAATTTACAATTAATTGAAAATTATTAAGGATTTTCTGTACTTTCCTTTTATACCATTTCTATAATGAACTACTAATTGTGCAAGATTAGGGGAAAGTGAGGATGAGATATTTGAAGGTTTATTTCAGAAGCATCTCAGTCCTTATCAGCTGAGAGATATGAAAAAAGCATTTAGAAGAGATTCTGCCTTAATTAACTCACTATAAAAGAAGCTAAGAGGTTACTCTCATACTTTTCAAGCTTCTGCATTTCACCCAGCATCAAATATATCTTCCTGAAATTTTAGCATTTCTTGCCTCTTTGATCTTTCTCACTAGCTGAGGCTTAATACTAGTTTTGCATGACAATCACCTGTTATTTCTGAATGCTGAATTTTTGTCTATTGCTTAAAAATGTTAGTTAAATATTTTATTAGTCTTGGCACATTTATTTATTTCTTAAAATGTATTTAGCCACCCATCTACCAGAGTACTTCTGAGTGGCAATAGAAAACAGAAATTAGAATTTAGAAAACTATTAAAAAATTTAAAACTCTGCATTGAGGCTCTCAAAAATTTCATTACTAACATGTCAACACAGCCACACCAATGCCCAAATTCCATTCACATCCTCACCCTAGTTCATGGGGGGAAAATCCAAGTCTTCACAGCCTTCTGGAAAACTACTAGGACCAAGTCTGTCTGTATCTTGGGAGAAACTTCCACAGATAGGCAACGGGACAGAGAAGGCATGCTTCCTAGCAGTCATCAAGTAACGTTACTTTGCTAATGGGACCTGAAGCACACCACTCTGCCCAATGCAATGGATAGAAACAATTGGGAAGAGACAGTCCCACAAGTATCCTAGCCCCATGTCACGAAAGGGCTGTCAAGCGCTGGGGAAATCAAAAGATCCCGGCAGTTCAAGTAGGTATAAAGATTTTTTGCAAGCTTAAGCTGTCTACAAGAATCTGAATTACTAACAGTCAAAGTAAATTGGCAGTAGATAAGAGTCAAAGGAATTCAAAGTGGGCTGGACTTAGATCTCTAGTGGCCATGAAGAGACTTGAGACTCATGACATGTTTGACTCCTACACTGGTCAAACATGTCATCAGTCTTGAGTCCCTTCACTCAATCTGGTCACTTCCTACAAAGGCTGACATATGGTTCCTAAGAATTGCCTTGCTATATTTAACATTGCATACCAAATACTTCACTCCATTATTTCACAGTCATCTTTAATTTCTTGGAAGTCAGTGTCCCATTATTCATTGGTAAACCTTCATAACATTCACCAACCTACACACGGTGAGGAGCAGAAAATTCCACAGCTAGATCAAAAATAGAACACAATCTATACTAGAGCCCTTCTATTTCCAACAGCCTACTAAGAGAGTTCCCTTGTACTCTGTGTTACTGGGTATGGAGAGATTGTTTATTTACTCATCAACTTCTTTTCCTTCAAAGAACGATTACAAAAAATTGTCAATGCAGTGCAAGGACTTTGTAGTTGGACTTCTTGATTTGTGCAGAAACACAGAAGAAGTGGAAGCTATCCTCAACGGAGATGTTGAACTGAATCATGGGGAGCATGGACGTCCAAGCCTGAGCCGCTTAAAACGGGCTATAAAATATGAAGTCAAAAAAGTGAGTTGTGAGATTCTTAGCAGGAGGGTTGAGCCCTTCACAATTTTCAATACTGTTAGCATGGAACACGAAAAATAGTCTTAAGTAGTGTGATATCCTTGTCTCAAAGTATCAGAAAGTAAACATCCTGTAGCATCTACATTTTTGATATTCATATATCCACCAATTAGCAATGATTGGTGCTGATCAGTCTACATAATATACTTGTTAACTTGATGGCATTTCTTGTAGGCTTTCTTTGCTTTCAAGGAATTACTCACAATTCCTTGATCCCATGTTATCAACAATTCCCACTTTTTGACAGCCATTAAAAATCACGCTGCCAAATCTCGGTGGACAATACAAAAAAAATTAAATATATAATTTTCTAGTATGTTTAACTCCAGAAAATTAAAATAATTAGTTGAGTCCATCATTACTTTAAATGTAAACATACTAAAATATATTCTCAGTTCCAAAAATGTAATAAATCTATACCACAAATAATAAATCCTAATTGTGGATTCCCTTTTGCAAATCCACAACTGATTGTATATGATCTATGACTATGAAATGTTTATTGTGGTCTCTCATTTGTCTTTTTTCTCCTTTAAACCAGTATTGATAATTGCATTCAGTTTTCATCCTTGATTACCACCTAGAGATTCATTAATACATGGCTGTTTCTATACAATGCAAATTCAGCCAAATATGAGCAACTACAGGCTGGAAACTGGGGAATGTTTGGTGTTCTCTGAGCTTGGTTGTTTGCTTGCAAACATTTCATTTCTCAACTAGGTAACATCATCAGTGCTAATTGTGGGGTTTATTCCCTGTTTATATACAATAGTTTGCCCTCCCGGTGTTGGTAGAGTGTGATAGTTCCTTGTTTTCTGCTTGAGTGTTGTGTGATATTAATCCCTATTTGTCTGGAGGGAAAAGTAAGGTTCTACATTTAGGAAAGAAAAACCAAATGTGCAGGTATAGTATAGGGGGTACCTTGCTCAAGAGTAGTAACTGTGAGAGGGATCTTGGACTCCTAGTGGACAATCATTTAAATATGAGCCAGCAGTGTGCTGCAGCTGCCAAAAAAGGCCAACACAGTGCTAAGCTACATTAACAGAGGGATAGAATCAAGATCACGTGAAGTATTACTACCACTTTACAATGCCTTGGTAAGGCCACACTTGGAATACTGCATCCAGTTTTGGTCATCACGATGTTAGAAAGATGCTGAGACTCTAGAAAGAGTACAGAGAAGAGCAACAAAGATGGTTAGGGGACTGGAGGCTAAAACATATAAGGAACAGTTGCAGGAATTGGGTATGTCTAGTTTAACGAAGAGAAGGACGAGGGGGGACATGATAGCTGTGTTCCAATATCTCAGGGCCTGCCACTGAGAATAGGGAATCAAGCTATTTTCCAAAGTGCCTGAAGGCAAAACAAGAAGCAATGGATGGAAAGTAACCAAAGAGAGAAGCAACCTAGAACTAAGGGGAAACTTCCTGACAGTTAGAACAATTAACCAGTGGAACAACCTGCCTCCAGAAGTGGTGAATGCTCCAATACTGGAAGTTTTTAAGAAGAAACTGGACAACTATTTGTCTGAAATGGTATAGGGTTACCTGCCTGAGCAGGGGGTTAGACTTGATGACCTCCAAGGTCCCTTCCAACTACTACTACTACTACTACTACTACTACTACTACTACTACTACTACTACTACTATTATTATTATTATTATTATTATTAGGCTATCCTGGTCTTTTTGTTTCCTTCTTAGCTTTTTTTTATTCTCTCTTTTGAATTGGTTTATCTCTATTTCTATTGATGGCTGATTTGTTGAATGCTAAGCTTCCAGGAATTCCCTAGCATTTTTTTGGACTTGGTTTTTCTAGGTGGTTCACAGTTTATCAAGTTTCAAACAGTTGAGCAGAAAACAATACCCAGATCAAGGGATCACCAAGGAAAAAAACTCACTCCCAACAATACTGGCAGGGCAAGCTGCTATACATAAACAGGGAGCAACTCCACACTTACTAGCAGAGAGGTTATTACCTAGTAGGTAATGAAGCATTTGCAAGGAAACTACCAACTCAAAGAGCACCAAGGATAGCACAGTTCAACCCTGAGCTACAGATATTCTCTTTTGTTGGGACTGCAAATTATATGCAGCCCTACAGTTACCAAGATCAGCTGCTAAAATTCAGGATAAATATACCAAGATGGTACATATATTGTTGTAATGTATATATTAGTGTTTTAAATCTGCAGTAGATTTAACAATATATATTTATTAACACCTCTAAAGTTCCAAAACAAGCAAATAAAAGCTCTCTTTAAAAAAATTAGAAACCCCTCCACCTCTCCCTGTAGCCTTATAAAGATTGAACACTTGAGGTCCAACTTCATGTAAGCAGAGAAGTGAAAAGAGTAGTAAAGCTCTTTAATGCTCTTGGATACTAGCTATAGAGATGGTATTCAAATATGGCTATTGAAATATCCAAAAATGCATTTTTTTTCATTTTCAAAAGCAATAGCTTCTGTACTTCTTTTATGAGATGTTGTAATATCATAAAAGGGAATGGTTCCTGCCATCAGATTCATGGTGCAAAAATCCCAAAGATATTATTAAAGTAATATCTTAACAGGATACCGTAAAATATACCATTGACTTGACTCAGTCTGGCACATTTTATGCTCTTATTTGTAGTAGTAGTTACCTGGGGACATTTGTTGGAAGGAAAATCTTTTTAAAAGCAATATTGCTGAAAACTAAATTCAGGGTGTCTTCTGGTTAACTGATCAAAATTCTCTACTTAAGAAAAAGACATAAGGCACATAAAGAGGTTTTCCCCCCACTTTAAGTGCCATGCTTCCTTTGTGAATGTGCTGTGAAATTTATTTAGATTTTTTTCTGTTTGAATATTTTTTTAACATCCTACTTTTGAAGTGAGTGGCAGTTTATGGCTAATGCTTCTTTGTGTTTCTTTTTTCTTTTCTTTTTTTGCAGTTTGTTGCTCATCCAAACTGCCAGCAGCAGCTTCTCTCAATCTGGTACGAGAATCTGTCGGGTTTACGACAACAGACTATGGCAGTGAAGTTTTTAGTGGTTCTTGCTGTAGCTGTTGGATTGCCATTCCTTTCGGTGGCTTATTGGATTGCTCCATGTAGTAAGGTACTGGTTAGTGCTCAGATGGGCCTTACTTTTTAATAACTTTGGGGCTTGGTTTGCACGTAGGAAAGAATAAATAATGTAATGAAATGTGTGGATGACCTTGGAGATGAAGGCCACAGATGCTGCCAGGGAAACCATTAGAGAAGAAAATCAAGGACCCCCTAGTGTCTCAACCATCAGAGAAAGAATCTTAGCAAGGATTTGTCTTAATGGATTAGACAATTAAAAGTAGCAATGAGAAATTTGTATCTTCAGACTTGCAAAATTCTGTTAACTCAGTCTTACAATAAAGTAGAATTAGCTCATCTAGTTGTTTTTCCTGTCTGATTTATCTGAGACCATTGATAGATGTAAACACAGAGGCCGGGGTTTTTTTTGGATCAGTATCAGCTGCACTAAAATGAATCACATACACTTCAAAACTGGGAAACTGTAAGTTATAGCTAAATGTTTTCAAGGAAAAAAAACAAAACAAGAAAATCCAATTCCCTTTTGGAAAAACACCTTGGGTCTTGCTTTGAGTTTGTAGTTCTTTCATTGTGATCAGAAGATTGCAGCAACCCACTTCCAAAGTTAAAATATTTCAAATCTGGAACATTTTACTCATGCCTACTTTAAGCCATGAACTGGTCATACTTGAGCACATTAAATACATGTAAAGGACTTAACTTATAGGCACTCATTTTGATTGGAAGGAAACTGTTGAAGGACAATCAATCTTAGATTGCTCGAAATCAAACAGATATAACATTCTATATAAAGACTGCAAGCAGATTTGCTCATGTGGTATATCACAATTGTGTTTAAACTAAAGATACAAAAGAGTTGGTGGTCAATATGGTTAAATTTTGAATGGTCTTTATGATAAAATTCAGTTTATCAGACCCAAGAATTCAGCCCAAGATCTTCCATGTGCAATCCCTATGCTTTGCTACTAGACTATTTGTGATTATATAAACTTCCATGCGTAAGTTTCAAATGAATAAAAATGAATGACATTTCCCATGCTGATAAAGTTAGTCAGGATAGGGGGAGAAGAAAAAGTTATTTCTCATACTAATAATGATGATTATCTAATGAGTGAACAGATGTAGACTATAAAAAAAGCAAGCTTCCAGGCACTGGCATAAAAACTGGTCCCTGCAGTTTTCTTGGCAAGATCTCAGAAGTGGTCTGGAGGAGCGTGCCTGGCTCCTGGTTTCCAGCCTGGTGCCTTAACAATTATCAAACTTTCTGTCTCTCTGTCTCTGTCTATATTTGTGTGTTTCCTATTTTAAAAAACCCTTATTTTAACATAAATATTGTGGTTACTGAATTATAGCATCTTAGCTGGACAGAGCCATTGGCAGATTTCTTCACTTACATGATTGAAACTAATATTTGAATCTGGAATACCTTTCTGCCATCAATCATTCCTTCTATTTTGTACGCCACCCTGAGTCCTTTGGGATTGGGCGGCATATAAATAAATAAATAAATTAACAATGATTCTTATCTTACATATTGATCAGAGGACATGTAATCCAATCTTTCATATATTTGAACAGCTTAAAGGAGTAGGTTTGCAGCAATAGAAGTCCCAGCAGAATTTAGGATATTTCAGCTCAGTCATGGATGGGATTATCACAGCTGAATTTCCCATTATAAGATTTTCTTTATAAGCACTTATAAGATCACTTATAAGCACTGTCTTGGTTGTTTTAGATCAGGGGTGTCAAACTGCCGGCCTGTAGGCTGGATGCATCATAGCGAAACTGCGCCCACCCCATTGAGGGCAATGGAAAAAAAGTCACAATACATCGCAACACATCACTTGACGTTGCGAGTTTGACACCACTGTTTTAGGTCATGATACATCTAGATGTGCTATCCCACACACACACACACACACACACACACACACACACACACATAACAGTGGTTTAGTGGGGTTATTAATATTCCCCAGCAACCCCCTTCACCAAAACCCCAGAACTGTCCCAATTAAGTCCAGCCAAAAGCAAACCAATGCTAGTTCACAGAGCTATAGCCAATGAGTCCACAAGACACTTGAAAGTTTCCCAGACAAGATAAACCCTGGAAGCAAAATTAAATCCACAATACAAGAGGGCTTACGAGAAGGCATAATCCAAGTCAAGGCACAGTATCAATTCAAAGTAAGGCAAAAATCACAAGAAGCGGCAAACACACAGCTAGGAAATGAGCACATTGTTACCAGCATCACCTCTATCTGTCTGCTGTGCTAAATAGCCAGCTTCTGGTGCAGCCCATCAAGAAGGGGCGAGCCTGCCTCTTCACAACTAATTGGGCTGACCTTTGCTGCTTCTGCCTTTTCTCTGCCCTACGTATTCTCGGATCAGGTATAAAAGGCAGGTCCTCTTCCTCATCACTAACTGGCTGCAGTTATGTGCTTTCACCACCTGAAACCTCAGGGCTGTACTGCTGCAGCTGTGCTTTTCCCTCTCAGAGCTCGGAGCAATTGGAGCCATTGACCAACATCTCCTCCAAGCTGATATCTGGAGAGGTATCTGGGGAAGCGTCTGGGGGAGTCATCACACTAGGTGTGTTAGTTTGCAATTCCCATAATCCCAGTTAAGCAACTTCTCCCCATTGAACCCTATAGATTGGTAGAAAATGGAAATTGTAATCTAGCATATACCAAAATATTGGGTAGTAGGTGACGATGCCCTTCAACCCTCCAAATACAGGTAGTCCTCAATTTACAATGGTTCATTTAGTTTGAAGTTACAACAGCACTGAAAAAAAGTGACTTATGACTGTTTTTCATACTAATGACCCTTGCAACATCCCCATGGTCACGTGTTCAAAATTCAAATGAATCATACTTAGGACGGTTGTAGTGTCCCAGGGTGATGTGATCTCTTTTGCATCTTTCTGACAAAGTCAATGGGGAAACCAGATTCACTTAACAACTATGTTACTAATTTAATAACTGCAGTGATTCACTTAACCACCGTGATAAGAAAGGTCATAAAAGGGGGCAAAACTCACTTAAGAAATGTCTCACATAATTGTTGGGCTCAATTGTGGGTTGTAAGTCAAGGATTACCTGTATGCTAAATATGGTTGCTAGCTATGACAGTGTGGCTTACAGTATCTCGTCATTTTCCTCGTTGTGCTTACTCATTTTTATTACTTTTCCCATTAACTACCTGTTTCCTCTAAATCTAATCTGAAAGAAGTTTTCTTTTTTTACTCTTTTTGTAGTTGGGTAGAATAATGCGTGGACCCTTTATGAAATTTGTGGCACATGCAGCCTCTTTCACCATTTTCCTTGGGCTCCTAGTCATGAATGCAGCTGACAGATTTGATGGCATCAAACTAAAGCCTAATGAAACCATGACAGATAGTGCAAAGCAGCTGTTTCGAATGAAAACATCTTGCTTCTCCTGGATGGAAATGTTGATCATCTCATGGGTAATAGGTAAAAATATTCCTCAAAGTTCTGTTCTGCAACCATAGTAGAGATTACAGATGTTTAAAGATGCATTACAAATAGTCCTCAGTTCTCGGACCAGCATTTCCATTGCTAAGTGAAATTCACAATTGCAATGCAATGGCAGTTCTGCCAGTCCCCAGTTACCATAGTTAAGCAAGGACTGTGTGGGTTGTTAAATGAGAACCTCATGTGATCACGACTTCCTTCCAGGTTCCCCATTGATTTTGCTTGCGGGAAGCCAGCAGGGAAGATCACAAATCATGATTAGCTTTGATGGTCAGAAATACAGGCCAGATGCCAAGTACCCTGATCATCTCGTATCTGTTTGAGATGCTGTGCGAACCGGTCATAACTACCATCCATTCAGCATAATTACAAGTTTGAATGGTTGCTGCAGTATCACAATATTGAAATACAAACTAAAGGAATTTACAATTATGTATTAAAGTCCCAAACCAGGAAAAAGACCATGCATAGAATTCATTGCTTATTCATCCAAGTACCATTTTTGGAGTCGGATTCATTAGAGCTGGACCAATTAAACTGAGCTCAATGTCCATATGTTATACATTCATCCCAGATAATACATTTCATAGGCACATTAAAAAATAGCTTGCGGCTGACATGTTATTAATTCCATTGCAGTTTACATTTCACAATCCTAGGAGGAAGAATTCAAGTTTTAATATACTTCCTGACCATCTGCTTATTGTATTTTAGCCGTATGCTTTAAAAAACAAGGTCATACATTATCATGAAAGCACTACAGAACTATTCGTCTGTAGAATTAACAATATACATCAACTGAAAACAACATTATTTAGTTTCTGGCTATAGTATCTATGTAAATATAGATACTATATATTTAAACATTTATAGTATTAAAACATTTATAGCAATGTTTTAAAAAAGAGTTTATTGTTGACATGACATTAATAAGCATATGAAATACTTTTAGTGAATTCTAGAAAAAAGTTGTATGTAGCACGAGAGAGAATCAACTTGATGAAACCTGGCATTCCAGATAATTAAGTACAATTCTTGAGAAAAGAATATAATGTTAAATATTAACAAATATTAAATGTAATGAAAGTAAATAAATTAAGAACTTAAGGGTAAATGAATGAGTGGGATTCCATGAAATTGTTTCTTTTATTTCATAATTAATATTTTTTCATATATAAAAAATTGGAATGTGCACACTTTCATCCTAAAGTGTTCAAATGTGGCATAAGCAAAGTTATTCATAATGGAGGTCTGTTTTTTTCAGTCCTCTGTATGACTATGAAAAATGATGTAGCTGCTTTAAGGAGTTGACTTGAATAAGTCTCACAACAGTCTGAAAAAAGTAGGGTTGCTTGAATGAATAGCAGAAAAGTACTTTGCTTGCTTGAGGTCTAAGGACTTGTTCGGAATCGTTTCAAAGCATACATAGACCATGAAATGACAAGTCTGTTATACAGTAATATATGTTAATTGAAAATACCAACTTGAACTCAAAATACCAAATAACAGCTATACTTTAATACTTCCCAGTGCAGAAAAAGCTAAGACATAGCTTGTTCTTTATTTGTTTTTTTTTTTTCCTTTTGACAATTCCTTTGTTTGCAGCAAATCATAACGGTTCCACAAGGAACACAGTTCAAAGCAATTCTACTGTAGATTAAATATTCAGGTCTAATAAATCTCAACTGTGCTGAAAAGAGAAAGTTTGTGACTTTTGTAATAAAATAGAACTGACATTCAGATCTTGATCTATTCAGTCTGTTCTTTGTCTCACCCATTTCCCTCCCTTTTTTCTCCTTCCCGATATTACAACTCAACTAATTTGACTGTTCTCAATAGACCCAATGTTTTATTTTTTCTGCATAAACAGTTGCACCTCCTTGCTTTCTGCATAAACAGTTTTGTTTAGTTTTTTGGGGAGGGAGATGCACTAAGATCACACTATTAGGAAGTATTAGGAAGCCAGATCATAAGGCCATAGAACAAAATAGATCATACTAGGTAAATAATTGGTGAAGGAATACCTAGCTGTTTTAAATGAATCCCAGAGGGCTAATGAACTGATGGAGGTGATCTTAGAACCTTTGACTGTTCTGTTAAATACAGCGGAAGTATTGGAAGATTAGTGAAGAATGAATATTTTTCTTATCTTCAAAATAGGCAAGGTAGACTCAGGAAACTATAAACTGGTCAATCTCATACCACTACCTGACAAAATCCTAGAAAAAGATAAGCAAGCAGTACAAACAGTATGAAATAAGGATATTGCTAGAAGCCAGTATAGGCTTGTTAAAAATATTAACCATGCCATACTAAATTTACTGCTTTGGGTTTTTTTGTTATTGTTTTGTTTTTTGCTGGGAGAGACCACTAATACTTCATTGGGCCCTTTACATCAAAATTCAAACCAGTTGTGAAAAAAATGTAGTGTTAAGGACTCACATAGGTACAAAATAGATTATGTTTGTCTCAGGAATGGTATTTGTGAGAAGGTTATGGGTAACCTGATAGACCAATGATGGCAAATGTTTTACAGACCGAGTGCCCAAACTGCAATCCAAAACCCACTTATGTATCGTCGGGTGCCGAGTGGGTGTGGCCCATTGGGTAGGCGTGGCCCATTGGGTGGGCATGGCTGCAGTGGTAACGGTAGATTGGGTGGGACTAAAAAGTTCAATCAATCAATTCCAACTTTGCAAGATTTCTTTTTCCAGCAAGAAGTTGAAATTGATTGATTGATTGAACTTTTTGTTTTTTTGCACATGGTGGTGGAGGCCTAAAGTGAAAAGTTTTTATAAAACCCAGCTGAAGGCCTAGGACTGGGGGGACACACGAGTGCCCATAGAGAGGGCTCTGCGTGCTACCTGTGGTACGCGTGCCATAGGTTCGCCACCACTGTGGTAGATCATAGGTTAAGCATCAGCCAGAATTGTGTTGCAGTTGTCAAAAGAATTAATGTAGCCTTGGTTGTCCCCTGGGTGTTTTCCCAAAAGGCAACTGGGCTTTCTTGGTTTTTTTCTTTGAAAATGTTTAGCTTGTCATCCAAGAAGCTTCTTCAATTCATTGAAAATCAGTTCATTGAACTGAAGAAACTTCTTGAATGAGAAGCGAAACATTTTCATGGAAGAAAAAGACAAGAATGTCCAGCTGTCTTTTGGAAAAGCACCTCTGGGACAACTGTGACCAGGATGATTGAGAATCTCCATAGCAGTCTTGAGTTGTATCAACAGAGGTGGAATGGTGACATAAGGGGAAATGATAGTTCTGCAGTATGCTAGTCAGATCACCCGTGTGTCCAGTTCCAGAATTCAAGCAAGATCTGGAACTTGAGGAACTGGAAAGAATGCAGAGATGGTTAATATGCTGATGGTTCTATGAAAAGTAATGAAAGGAACTTAGGTATGTTTGGCCTAAAGAAGAGAAGGTTAAGGAGAGAGATAATAACAGCTTTTAAATCCTTGAAGTCCTGTCACAGACTAGACTTTGTTCTCTACAACTCCTAGAGATAGGACAATTAACTATGAATGAAGAGAAATTTTCTGACTGTGAGAACCATCAATACCCCTCAGAATGACCATTCTGTGACCATTCAAAATCACAACAGCACTGAACATATGTTACTTATGCTCAGTCTTCAAAGTTATGGCTATTACAGGGTTCCCACTGCTATGTGATCAAAATTTGGGTGCTTGTCAGCCAGTCTGCTGACAACTACAGATCATGCTTCAATTACACCTGCCTATCCGCCCCCATCTCTATTCTTTTGACCGCTGTGCACCATGTTCAGAGTCTTTCTGAGGTAAGGAGAAGCATGAAGTCTAAAGCTAATGTCCTATTTTCTTCTTCCTTCCTTTAGGTATGATATGGGCTGAATGTAAAGAAATTTGGTCCCAAGGTCCCAAGGAATACCTGTTTGAGTTGTGGAATATGCTAGATTTTGGTATGTTGGCTATTTTTGCAGCCTCATTCATTGCAAGGTTCATGGCTTTCTGGCATGCTTCTAGAGCCCAGAATATTGTTGACGCTGATACTGAAATGAAGGACTTGTCAACTGCGACACTGGATCCTAGCATAAAGTACTACACTTTGGGTGAGCAGCTCATATTTATATTATAGAGCTAATGTTTTAATTCCTTTCAAATATACATTCATATTATTCAGTCCTGAAATATACCTTATATACTTATGTATAGGTCTGTTCAGAAATAAGCCAAGCCTCAATTTTTTAATCAAACTTAGCTTATCTTAGATATGGAACAGGATAGCACCACGTAAATATGTCATTTTCCTTCTAAAGTAAAAGAGGTTTACTGAATAGTCATGAAAGTAAATTAAATGCTGTAAAGTAAGTTATCAGCTAGACATTATAAACAAGGAAATATTTCCAGGAAATATTCAGCAGTTTTTACAACATTTTTTTCAAAATATGATGACACCTTCTGGATCTGATGAGACAGCGACTCTCAAAATTCTAGCTTTCTTGTCCTCCACTGTTTGGGAGTTGCAAAAAAGTTGCAATCCCAATTTACATTAAAAAGCAGCAGGTTATAAAAGGTCAGTTTACTTATGAGATGCCATAATTTATTCACCAATTTTATCAGCCCTCTGCTGCTGGAAAAGTGAAGTGTTCATTGTACACCTTAATGTAACAGGGGTGTCAAACTCAATTTCACTGAGGGCCACATCAGCATTGTGGTTGCCCTCAGGGGGCCAGGTGGGTGTGGCCTACTGGGTGGGTGTGGCCTACTGGGTGGGTGTGGCCAGCTCTACATCATTCGCGTCAATGGTCCCTGAGGGGGCCTGGGCAGGAGTGGGACAGATCTGAGGGTCTCTGGCAGAAGGGGGGTGGGACCAGGGCAAGTGCCAAGGCATGGTCCACTGGAGGAGCCTCACTGTTCCTCTCAGGCCATGCGGGTGGGGGGGCTTATGGAGCTAAGACTGAATGCGTTTCAGAATAGAGGGCCACCACAAAATTGTACATTGGCTCCCAGCTGGCCTGGGCCAGGGCCAAGGCAGAGGGGGCCGTTTCCTTACTATTTCCAGGATGGCTTCGCGGGCCACATGAAACCACTTCGCGGACTGCATCTGGCCCCCGGGCCTTGTGTTTGACATGTCTGATGTAACAGTATTGAAGCCAAGAGAAACACTTCTGAAGATTGTTGCATGAACTCACTTCTAGAACAAAGGAAGATCCTCTTGTTTCCTCAAGTGCTTTATTTTATACAACAAAGTTAAATCACACCCAAGCTACAAGTAGGCCTTGACTAATGATTACAATTAAGCCCAAAATTTCTGTTGCTATACGAGACAGTTGTTAAGTAAGTTTTACCCCTTTTTACGATCTTTCTTGCCACAGTTGTTAAGTGAATCATTGCAGGTGTTAAGTTAGTCACATAGTTGTTAAGTGACTCTGGCTTCCCCATTGACCCTGGTACACTGCAACCGTCATAAATATGAGTCAGTTGCCAAGCATCTGAATTTTGATCACGTGACCATGGGGATGCTGCAATGGTCATAAGTGTGAAAAATGGTCATGTTATGTTTTCAGTGCCATTTCAAACAGTCACTAAATGAACTGTTGTAAGTCGAGGACTACCTGTACTGTGTTTAGCCTAATGTTTTGAGCAGGCAAGTAGGAAGACTAAAGCGCAACGTATTAAACTAAAACTCTTGTATTTTTTTCTTTTTAGCAAGAATAGACTGGGATCCATCTGACCCTCAAATCATATCTGAAGGCCTGTATGCAATTGCTGTGGTTTTAAGTTTCTCACGAATCGCCTATATTTTGCCAGCCAATGAAAGCTTTGGACCCTTGCAGATATCACTTGGTAGAACTGTGAAAGACATATTCAAGTTCATGGTCATATTTATCATGGTTTTTGTGGCCTTCATGATAGGAATGTTTAATCTCTATTCCTATTACTTGGGAGCAAAGCAGAATGAAGCGTTTACTACGTAAGTTAATGCTTGTGAATTCTATGAATGATCGTATTGGAAGACTCGTTTGTAACATATTTAGTGTAAGCAGAATGTATTTAATGTATTTAATATATTCATAGTAATGGTTGCTAACCCTGAAGTATTTATTAGTTATACCGTTTTTTATGCTGTTAATATCGATGCCTTCAAATCTGTGAAATCAGATTAATCAAACGTTTTCATGAATGGATTGAGGAAGGATTACTGCTTTTAATCAGTGTGATTTTTTTTCGTGCTACTGTATCTTGTTTGAATGCCAGAAAATGGATTGATAAGATTCTTAAAGAAAGCAGAACTATGGTGCCTGTACATTTTCATAAGAAGAGATGTTATACAAAAGAAAGTTTATGAAATATATTTCACATTCTTTACTTTGTATACATTGAAAATTCAATATTTTGATACAGATGTGTTGAGCATGCATTTAGTTTATTGTTTATTTATTTGTATCCTGCCTTTATTATTTTTACAAACAACCCAAGGCGGTGAACATACCCAGCACATTTTCCTCCTCCTGCTTTCCCCACAACAGTAACTTTGTGAGATGGGTTGGGTTGAGAGAATGAATGACTGGCCTCAAATCACCCAGCCAGCTTTCATGGCTATTATGGGATTTGAGTTCACAATTTTCTAGACTGGTGCCTTAACTATTATCTGTTACTATACATTACACCATGTATTACTTCATGTGTTACTAGTATAATACCCGTGTTTCCCTGAAAATAAGACTGGGTCTTTATTTTTTGCCTCCAAAAGAGGCACCAGGTCTTATTTTCAGGGGGTATCTTTTATAGTCACCTCCAGCACCGACAGCCCCACCCAGCCGATCCTCTTCTTCTGGGGCCGAAGGAACAGCTTTATTTTGCAGCTGCATTCCGGCCTGCATTTTGCAGTCAGGCCTTTTCCGAAGGCATTTACAGCCGAGTAACATAGCTTGGTCCTCGGCTGCAGAGGTCTTGCAGAACCGAGCTATGGATTCAATCCATAGCTCAGTTCTCAGCGACAGTGGTCTTCCAGAAAGGCCTATGACGGAGAAATGCAGATCTGGCTGCAGAAGACCCCACAGAAGAAGTGGGCCAGCGAGGAGAGGCTGGCTGCCAGGTAAGTGGTTATGGAGCTCATGGGACAGATCCCACCCCCGCCCTAGCTTGATTTTTAGGTGTGTGCCTTGCCCCAAAACTAGGACTTATTTTGGAGGTAGGGTTTATATTAGGCCCACCTCAAAAATCAATCTAGGGCTTATTTTTGGGGTAGGTCTTACTTTTGGGGAAACAGGGATAGTATTCAACTTATGGCTGGTCACTTAGCAATTCTTTCCTGATGTATTGTTTTCCTTTCTCCATCCAGCATTTTATGCTGAGTAACCAACTTCAGTTCTAATTGTGTTATTTCGTTTCTCTTTATATGCATTCTGTCCCGTTTTGGAGTTATTGAAGCATTAGGGTTTTCCCAATCCAGTACTGATTTTTTTGTTTGAGGAGAGTATTGTTGTGGTTTCATCAAAAAAATGAGATTGCTGTTATTATGTATTATGTTATTAAGAAAATACCCGGTCAGATCATTAAAGAACATAGCCATTTCTTTCAAATGTGCTAAGAAAATGTAAATTTGTAGAAAAAAAGGAAGGCAATAATATTTAAAAGAAGAAGAAACAAAGATTTCTTTAACAGACTAGTGGTATATTACATGATTGGAAACATTTCTACCTTTGACTTGCCCAAGTGACTGCATTTTTCCTATGTTTTTTTCTAGGAACATCTGATAATGTCTCACTTAAAATTTTAAAATTATTGATATTTAATTATTGTAATTTTTTATTGTTGTGATCCACTTAGAATCATTGAGGCCTAGAAGTTTAATATAATAATATATTATTGTGACATATTTGCGTATTCACAAAGAAGAGTCAAAATATGCGAGATGATAAGAATGATATAGGTAGAAACTGGTGGGTTTTAGATTGTGACAATGCACCTTTATTTTCCAATTTTTGATATACAATAGTCCTTGATTTACAACAGTTCATTTAGTCACCATTTGAAGTTACAATGGCACTGAAAAAAGTGACTTATGACCTTTTTCACACTTATGATCACTACACTGTCCCCATGGTCATGTAAACAAAATTCAGGTGCTTGGCAAATGGCTCATATTTATGACAGTTGCAGTGTCCCAGGGTCATGTGATTACTTTCTGCGACTTTCTGACAAGCAAAGTGAATGGGGAAACCAGATTCATTTAACTAGCAAGAAAAGTTGTAAAATAGAGCAAAACTCACTTAACAAATGTCTCACTTAGCAACAGAAATTTTGGGTTTATTTGTGGTTGTAAGTTGAGGACTACCTATACAAATATATAACACATATCCTGCAAATACCATTCATGACATACTATCAAGTACTATTAATTAAAGATAGGCAGGTTGCTGCTAACGCAATTCAGTTTTTTTTTATCTTTTGCAAGATTTGTTCATGCTTCTATTTATTCTTTTTTTTCAGAGTGGAAGAAAGCTTCAAGACTTTGTTCTGGGCAATATTTGGACTTTCTGAAGTCAAATCTGTGGTCATAAATTATAACCACAAATTTATTGAAAATATTGGTTATGTCCTTTATGGTGTTTATAATGTCACCATGGTTATTGTTTTGTTGAATATGCTTATCGCAATGATTAATAGTTCCTTCCAGGAAATTGAGGTAATATTCTGATTAAACTGATATGGTCTTTCCTCATATAATGTAAAATGTTGTACATATTCTTAATTAGGAACTACAACCATGCTAGTAAACAAAGACAGGAAACATTGTAGCATAGAAGCAGTCTTTGAATTAATAGAGCTTTTCTTTAAAATTATTACTGTTCATTAAAATTATATTAACTACTCTGCTGATAGTTACATATGAGTATTCAGCAATACAACTCTATATTTGCATCTGTCTTCTGTTTTGGTCAAGGCCTGTTCTGGAAGATAGTCATGAGGGCTATGACCTTTCTGAATGCTTCTGGGTGTTGCTTTCTTGGACATAATTAAATCCAGCAAGACTTTTCTGATAACTTTATGCCTAAAGACACTGTAATTTAAGAAAGATGTTGATAGGCTAGAACATATCCAGAAAAAGACAAAAGAGATGATACATAGCTTGCACACTAAGGCTCATGAAGAAAAGTTGAAGGATGTTAGCTTGGGGAAGAGGCTATTAAAATGGTGTAATACCCACTTTCTGAAGCCATAACTAGATAGTTCTCTGCCATTAGAGAAGATAAGACATAAAAGAGCAGGATAAAATAAAAAAAGTGATTTTGATTAAGTGCCAGAAGGAATCACCTGGCAAAATAAGCTAATAGACTATGGAAAAAAAAAAGTATTTTCAGCACTAAGCAAACCAGTTTTTATTTCTTAGCACTGAGCAAAGACATTTGTTTGAATCACTCAATCAGTGTGCTGATTTTTTAACATCTTGCTGTTTAGAAATTTGAATTCAGGCTGCTGCTTTTATTTTATTGTTTTAGTGTTGTGCTTTTTAATAACAGTAGTTAATTATATATTTAATGTATTTGCATTTCATGTATTTATTTAACAAATATTTATAGTCAGCTCCAAAAAGTAATATAGGTCACCCTGACAAAATGTTGATTTTGAAGAATGAGATCTATCTATTTCTTTTTATGATCCTGTAATCCCTTGAATCGGGGTGTAATCGGGACAACTGAATGGAGCTAAGCATTTACCGGGTGGATGACCTTCCTGATGCCTAGGAGGGGTTTGCAGCAGATATTTTTTCTTTGTGCCCAGAGACAGAAATATCTGCTGCTACCTAGGATTATATATATATCACTGAAAAAGTAACACGTATATATTAAAAAGTGTGTGTGTGTGTGTGTGTGTGTGTGAGAGAGAGAGAGAGAGAGAGAGAGACAGACAGACAGACAGACAGATAGACAGAGACTGCATTTGTAAGTCTGTGGACAAATCTGTAGCTCTTTAAAACAAGTGCATCTTCTCTTTTAGGTCTATGTCCCACTGCCTCAGGTAATCATTGATAGACTCTTTTGTCTGCCTTCCAGGATGATGCTGATGTAGAATGGAAGTTTGCAAGAGCGAAACTCTGGTTTTCTTATTTTGAGGAAGGCAGAACACTTCCTGTCCCTTTCAATCTGGTGCCCAGCCCCAAATCTCTGCTGTACTTTTCCCTCAGAATAAAGACGTGGATTTTTAAACTACTGTTTTGCCATAAGAAAGGTTTCCAGGAGGATGCTGAGATGAATCAGGTAACCAACTGCCACTTCTAGAGTTACATATTTTTCATAGTTTGAGTTGGAGGAGGAAATACGTGCTATTCCTACACCTTCAATACAATGGCTGCCTGAGGATGTGTGCTTTCAGCAAGTAAAATCAGCAGCTATTACAGTGCTACCCTACTGTTTCAGGAAATGAGGTAGCATATTTAACATTGTTTAAAGTCAGCTTTTAGACTATTAGACAATTGAAAAGTGTACAGACTTTGTGCATTCTGCCACCATGTGTTTACAGAATGTAATGCAATTAAATTTCACTTGGGCCTTTTAAAATTTAACAGCCAGTCTTGAAATACTACTATATTGAAACAATGTAATGTAAGTACCTAATAAAATCTGCCTTCTGCTTTTATATCCTACTTTCAGAGGGACTGAGAATTGTTTCTGACTTAGTAGTGGTTTTGAGCGTTATTGTAGGAGGCTATTGCTGGTGGTCCTGATCTTTCCATTATCTTGAAATCTCCTGACTTTTTCAATTAGAAACATCTCCCTGGATGATGTTCCCTTATTATGACTTCTAAAGTGGAAGTATGAGAAATCAGAACTATAGATTGCTTAAGAGATGATTTTATGTGAAAAATAGGAATTGATGCATGTCTTGTTGGCGTTAGAACTAAACAGCTGCAAATACTCCAGACTTCAATCAAGCTGGAAGGGACCTTGGAGGTTTTCTAATTCAATTCCCTGCTCAAGCAGGAGACCCTATACCATTTCAGACAGGTGACTGTCCAGTCTTTTTTTAAACAAATTTAGAAAAGAAATTCTCTTTCATTAGAAATGAAAAAAATACAGGATAATTTTTCTGCATAACACTAAAAATAACTACTCCTGTGGATAATTTGTTTAGAGAGGATGTTAGTGAGAAGATATTCCAGAACATGAAGGATAGCTCTTCCTGTGAGATTTTGCTTCCTGAAAACTGTACTTCCAAAAATTGAATTTCTAAAAGAAAAAACATCATACTTGTTGCATGGATGAAAAATGTTTTAGATGGAATTGCAGTAGTTATGTGGTAGTGGAGGGGAAAATGAAGGCAATTCTGGTTGAAATTCTTGGTCTATTCATCAGAACTGACTTGTATCAGGATGTATATATGCAGGTAGAATTAAGCTAATTAAAAGAATTTATAAATGGAGATCCAGTGGGATGAATCAAGTTTAATAAGGTATACCCCAATAACCAACTTGCATGTTTAAGCTTTCTATCCTTAAAGTGAGGAAAATAAGGAGATACCAAGCTATTTTTTCCTACAATCTTCCGTTTAGGGGAATACAGAGGAAATAGGAGTAAAGAGGGAAATGCTTATTTTTTTCAATTCTAAAGCTCCTATGGATTAATAAATAAAATAATTAGTGTTTTGGAGCTCATGTCTAATAGTTATTATCCTCAATATGACAGCTTGTTCTTCCTTTATCACGTTTGTAGCTAAAGCTCCAGTCACTTGGGGAAATAAGAAATTCCAGCAAATATGAAATGCGATGTGTTTTTGAAAATGTGTTGGTCCGTGTGGACATGGTCCTCAACATGAGCTGCTTATGAAAATGTAGCTATGTTAATTTAATGAAGCAGAGAGTCTGGATCCTCAAAAACTATCATCAAATTCCTAGATAAAAAAAATAATACAGAAAACTGGATACAAAAGGCTATGAAATGAGAGAGAAATAAATGGGAATGATATATCTATACAGAATCCAGTTATTAGTTGGTGACAATTAATATGGATAAAATAGTACAACTAAGTAAAAATATTTACCTATTCTTCCTTGGTTTATATTTTGAATTCCCTGTTTCTTGAAAAATCCAGCAAATAGAAAAAAGGAAGAAAAATAAGTTGGAATTATTTAAGAAAACTTCTTAGCATTTCTTATTTTCAGATGGAGCATAATAAGCTACCAAGTATAAAAAGCACAGATGATATCGACTTAAACAGCTCTAATAATCCACAGAGAAAGTATCAGGTAAGTGTCAACTTTTCATTTTATGTTCAACTAGATCAGTTAAAGATACAGTTGTGGTATTTGCACAAGAACCTAGCCAGGTTTAACCTGGTTGTGTGTGTGTGTGTGTGTGTGTGTGTGTGTGTGAATTATTTTGTCATATAGAGTACCAGATCTGGATTGCAGAATTTAGGATTGCCTTTATACAAAAGCAAAGGGCTAGATTTTTTAAAATTATGCCTCTTTATTTTCACAGTATTTCATAACTCAACCTGTTTGGTTAGTTATGGTTTGGTATGTTCTGTAGATTTGAAAAAAATGGGTTAATTCAGTAAATTACAAATCTAGCGTGAATCCAGCTAATTGGAACCATCTGAGAAATTCAGCAGAAAAATTCTGCAGAATTTTAGTATAAAGTGTAAGACATAATCAATCTTACATGAAGAAGTCACAAACTAACTTGTGAGAAGACTCAAGTATAAAAAATGCCATAAAGGAATTCCCTCAGGAATTGTTATGATTCAGTTGAATCACATTAACGTATGAATTAACATACAATCTCCACTAGACCACTGTGTCCAATTTCCTGCTCTCTTCAAAAAAATCCAAATTAAATCATCTGAGATTGTTGGCTTTCTAAGTCTCTGTTTCAGTGCATGTAGTGAAGGGATCCCACCACCTTTTTGAACAGCCGGTTCTACTGGCTAACTGTTCTCACTGTTAATAAGCTTTTCCTAACTTTCAAGATGGAGCCTCTCTGTATAATTGATCTCTATTATTCCATGCTTTTTCCTTTGGGGTAGTAGACAACATATCGTGATCTTCTCTTAATAGATTACGATTAAGTAAATCTTTTAATGGATTGTTCTTAATATGGATCACCTGGATCACATTCAGTTTGGATCAATGAAAAAATATAGGGAAATTGTTATGATGCAGTAAATCCTATGCAGTTCAACAGGACTTCTGAGTTAATATAGTTAACATACATAACACGGCAGTACTTCAGTAGGCATCAGTTTGGTCGTAGGAAGACTCTGCATAGTTTCTGGAGAGCAAGCCAAGCCTTAATTAGCTTGTAGGATTGGGATCCTTTCAGCAAGTTAAAAATATATTTTATGCTTCTTTTTTCCAGAAGATCATGAAACGTCTTATTAAACGATATGTACTGAAAGCTCAAGTAGACAGAGAGAATGATGAAGTCAATGAAGGTGAGATTGTGGAATGGCTATAATTCTAATATTAGACAACAGAGATTTCTCATTTGTTTCTGTCACCAAGACTTTAGTTGTATCTTTGCTGCCAAACATGTATTTTTAATCTATGGTCTATACTAGTCTTGTGCAATTCTAGAAGTGTCTCCTCAAGATCATGCTGCCAAAGATTCATTAGCAAATTGATGAATAACAGAAGCAGAGCTTTCAGGTCATAGCTGCAGAAAACAGAAAATGTAAGGGTAAATGGGATCTTAGAGATCACTTATCCCAACCTAATTGCCCAATGCAGAAATCCATTATTACAGTAAAGTGTATTACATTGAGTCTTGGGTAGGCTTAATATACCTATAAACCCTCAACTTATGATCACAATTGAGCTCAAAATTTCTGTTGCTAAGTGAAACATTTGTTAAGTGAGTTTTGTCCCATTTTACAACCTTTCTTGCCATAGTTGTTAAGTGAATCACTGCAGTTGTTAAGTTAATAACATGATTGTTAAGTGAATCTGGCTTCCCCATTGACTTTGCTTATCAGAAGGTCACAAAAGATGATTACAGGACCTTGGGACACTGCAACCATCATAAATCTGAATTGATTGCTAATTTTTTGACCACATGACCATGGAGATGCTACAATGGTCGTAAGTGTGAAAAACAGTCATAAGTCATGTTTTTCAGTGCTGTAATTTCAAATGGTCACTAAATGAACTGCTGTAAGTCAAGGACTACCTATATCAGAGGTTCCCAACCTTTTGGGCACTAGAGATCAGTTCTGTGGAGAAAGGTTTTTCCGTGGACCGGAGCGGCGTGCTTTTGTGTGCTGCTTGCATCCCACGGATAGGGCTTTACTTGTTTGTGTGGAGCAATTGCTGGCATGCCATAACCCGGTACCAGTTCATGGACCAGGGGTTGGGGACTCCTGACCTATATAACCTTTTCTCCAACATACAAACATACATAAAGTCCCAAAAATAAAAATAATTCCAATTTATCACAAATGCTAACTTTTTCTTCTTGGGGACACTAAAAAAAGATATTTATTTTTCAAAAGTTTGATCTGCTGGTATACCAAGAGGACAGCATTTCTTTGGCTAGGAAAACTAATTTTAAAGGTTCAAAATTAAAGAAATGTTCCGTGATTAGCCCTGCACAAAATTGATGCTCGTTCCAGGAGGTTTCCAAAGCTTTGGGGCTGAAACCAGTGTGTGTGTGTGTGTGTGTGTGTGTGTGTGTGTGTGTGTGTGTGTGTGTGTGAGAGAGAGAGAGAGAGAGAGAGAGAGAGAGAGAGAGAGAGAGAGAGAGAGAGAGAGAGAGAGAGAGAGTGCAGCAATAGAAAAAGATAATTTTTTTCCACTGACTGGCTGAAGCATAGGAGGGACAGGAAGTGAAGGAGTTGGGAGCAAGGACTAAGGTGTTCCAACTTCACTAATGAATAATCTTCAGGAATTTAAGTCATAAGTCAGGGCAGTTCTTAAGTGGGTTATCTCATGACTTGATTCTATTTTATGAGCATTTTTACAATGGTCGTAAATCAAATCACCACAGTTTTAAATGAACCACATGCTCTTTAAGGAAATGCAGGATATCAAATGGACATTTTTGCTATTTTCTGCTAGAAAATGGTGAAAAATATCACAAATTGCTGATATGCAATTTGCAACTGGTTGTAAATGCAGGCTGCTTGCCAAACAACCCACATGTGGTCATTTTATTTATTTATAAATTTTATTTGCTGCCCATCTTGTATCCAACCACTGGGCAGCTTGCAACACAGAAAGATTGAAAAACATTAAAAATCATACATCGTAAAAAATGCAGGAGATAAAAATATTTTACAACAATTGGAAGAGCTTTAGACACTTTAAAGCACCCTTTTAAGGCCATCATAACTTCAAATGGTTGTTAAGCAACAGGTCGTTAAGCAAGGACTATTTATATTGCATTGCTGATGGTAGGGGAACAGATCTCTCTTTTTATAAGAGGAACAGTACTGTAGCTTATAGGAAAGCAATTTCAAGTGATAAAAACACTTCAAGAGGGAAAAAGAAATGCATAGTTTCTTTTCAAATTTAAACAAGTGTTAGGACAGTTGCTAGCAGTGGTGCTAGTAATATTGATCCCCATAGCACTAAAATCTACCATCTGCAAAAAGATACTGGATAAGAGAGAGGATGAATTCTGACCTCTGTCACCTGTTCTAGATACTGAACCAAGGTTGGCTTTCTTGGTGATGTTGTGTAGGAGGGTGAGCAATGACTGGCATCATTAAACCACTGCCCTGAAATTAACCATGGTATCTGAATGATCCCTGGAGGTGCAGTGGTTAAAGGACAGTATTGCAAGCAAATTCTCCTCACAGCCTGGAGTTCAAACCTGACAGGGCTCAAGGTTGACTCAGCCTTACATCCTTCTGAGTTTGGTAAAATGAGGAGCCAGATTGTTGGGGGCAATGTGCTCTGTAAACCACCCAGAGAGTGCTGTGAAGCACTATGGGGTGGTATATAATGCTATTACTATTGCTATCTGTTGTGCAGGCAATGCCACCAGTGATCTCATTGTAGAGGAGACTGGGGAAGGCTCAAAGGTTGATTGGGGAGGCCAGCACTTTTATATACTATATCTTTTTTTTCCCTCCTGGCTGTATATTTGAGTCTTCAGTGGATCCAGAAACCAGACCTCTGCCATTTGTGACAGGATACAGAGTCTCAATCTGCAAGTCATAAAGTGAGCTCTGGGTAGATGTGGACAGAATAGCATTTCCACCCTTGACTGAGAAACTAAAGAAAGGAGCAGATCTCTACTGTAAAAAAATGCTGGAAGTTTCCAGCAGACTTGATTTTTTCAAAAGGAATTACATGTTGGGCAGCCAGTCTGTCGCAAGGCTTTAAATAGTGCTTTGATGCCAAGGGCAAGGCAAGATAAGATGTGAAGTTGTTGGAATAACAAGGCCGGTTAGCATCTTCTCTGAACTACATAGATGGGTTTCCCAATCTAATCCTTTCCTGAAAGTTGAGGCTGAGACTTGAGAGGCAGAGCTAGGTATATACCACTTTGCGCTCTTTGGATGGAAAGTAGAACATAAAAAAAGCCAACAAATAAAGGCTCACCCTTTTTCTTCTGCAATATACGTAGTCCTCAACTTAACAACCAAAACTGAAAGCAGAAGTGAGTCATGCCCAATTTTACGATCTTTTTTTACCACAGTTATTAAGCAAATCACTACAGTTGGTGGTTAAGTAAATCCAGCTTTGGATTTGACTTTGTTAGAAGCCAGCTGGGATGGTCACAAATGGCAATTACATGACCCCTGTAGGCTACAACCATTGTAAATATATTCTGGTTACCAAGTGCCAGAATTTTGATCATGTGACCTGGAGAATGTTGCAATAGTCATAAGTGTGAAGACCAGTCATAAGTCACTTGTTTCAATGCTGTTGTAACTTTGAATGATTGCTAAATGAATGGTTGTAAGACAAGAACAAACAATCATTTGTAAGTATGACAAACCAAAGCAGAGGGCTAAAACTTCCCACTATAAAAAAAAAATAGAATGTGTCTTATATCAGATAGCATTCTTAGAAACAAAGATGATATTGGAATCTGATCCCCCAAACCTCCACTATTGAGTTAAAAATAGCTTCTGTAGATGCGAAGGTCAAGGATCCTATCAATATAACCAAAGTTTATCAAATACTAGAGAAGCTATCCAAAATAGTGGCAGAGGTAGCTTTGTTCCAAGATCCAACATTAAACCTTGTTTCTCTTACTAGTAAAGATTCTCTATTTCTGGGGGGGAAAATAACCCATCTCTTTTGAAAAACAGATTTGTTATTAAAAATAATAATGAAAAGATTTTACTACCTTCATTGTTGGTGTTTTATTTATTAGCTTCCCTCTGGAAATGGGTCCTTGATTCCTATATTCCTAAGCCTTTGATCTTTCTCTTTTACAGGTGAACTGAAAGAAATTAAACAGGACATCTCAAGCCTTCGTTATGAGCTCCTTGAAGAAAAATCACAGAACACAGAAGACCTGGCAGAACTTATCAGAAAACTTGGAGAGAAACTGTGTATTGAACCAAAGCAGGAACAAAGCAGCAGATAACATGAACTTCTTTCTCAAAAGAAAAAGAAGCAGAAATTCTCCAAGCTGACAGACCCAATGAAAGCCATATCAGTGTTACCTCCCCGTTGTTCTCCTTCAAACTTAATTGACACTTTTACAGCAGATACAAAAGCAGACTCATCTTGAATGGATTTTTTTATTACTATTTGTAACGGGAAAAACAGCATTTGACTGAGTTGTTCAATCCCATGCACCAAAGGAGAGAGAGAGAGAACCCTTCAAAAATAATCTTAAAATTAAAAAAGACATAAAACACAGTTTCATAAACTGTATGACTTTAACTGCTGGACTCTGTTAACATCAAGTTTTTTTCACATATACAATATGTTCAAACGCATATATCTTATATCTTATTTGTATCTGTAATCATAGTCCATTAAAATAAAGCGAGGTTACAATAAATTAGGTAGAAATAGAGTTCTGGTCTTAAAAAAGAAAAGAATTGGACCTCCTTTAACTAAACAGATAGACATACAATTAAATTGTCAATTAACCAAAGAGATGAATTTCATTGTCAGTATAAAGGCTTAGGGTGGATAAAAGATAGGTTCAAAAGAATACATCTGGAAATTGTTGTGTAACTCTAAAACTACTGTACTACAATGCCACATGTATCACTATAGTTAGTCCTCAACTTATAACCATAACTGAGCCTGGAATTTCAGTCATAGGTCAAGATGGTCATTAAGTGGGTCATCACATGATTGTCCCTGATTTTATGACCTTTTTACAGTGGTTGTTAAGTGGATGTTAAGTAAACATTTTGATTGTTAACTGAATACTGCGATTCTTAAGTAAATCTTTGGTTTGCAATGGGTGCTTTGTGGTGGGAACTAGAAGTAAACACCAGTTTCTGTTCAAAAATGCCATAAATTGCAGTCACATAACCACAGGATACTGCAAACAACCATAAATGTGATCAGTGTAGAAGCCAAAATGCAAGTATGTGACTGCAAGGAAGGAGGAAGTTCGAATACAACTCATGAATACCTTTTAGAGGGTCTGACATAACTTCAAATGGCTGCTAAGTGCCGGTCAGTTGAGGACTACCTATATTGTAATGTAATTTTTCTAAGGAATTTAAACAAAAGTATTTTAACTATCTTGGCCTAACAAAAATGTCTTAAGAGACCTAGTTCTCCTCTTAGAAAATTATCATATATGGCATTGTTTGCAGAATGGGCTAAACCAGTGGTTCTCAACCTTTTCTTCACCATGGACCCCCCCTTTTAAATACCTTTTGTGGTCACGTACCATGGCCACGGACCTCCAAGACTTATCTCAAGATTTAAATCATAACATTTCTTCCAGCCTTGGCAGATCTCCTGTGACAACATCATGGCCTCTCAGGAGTCGGTGGACCACAGGTTGAGAATCACTGGGCTAAACCATACCATGTAGAGATACAATAACCATCTCACACACAAAAGTTTATGTTAGCAAGTTAAAAAAAAGCTGAATAATGTTGTATCATCTATATGTATAAATTATGGTAGGATTACATTTATATGTTTATTATAAAGTGTATAGAGATGTTTTCATGATGTGATAAGCCAGATTTATTCATTATCAGGAAACACACATTTCTCCCTGGGGCTTTGGCATACAATGAAATGAAAGTGAAGAAATAACCTTCTAGGTATTATTTTGTCACATAAATGCAGTGTAGAAGCCATAAACAGCTAAGGCTCAAAAGCAATGGTTCTCAACCTGTGGGTCGGGACCCCATTTGGGGTCGAACGACCATTTCACGGGGGTTGCCAAACAACGCAGTCCGCCATTTCCCCCCCCCCCTTTTCCTTAGCTGTGCTACTCCCTTTTATTCTATTGGCTTTTGAAAGCCAATAGAATAGACTCTCTTGAATAGAGTCTAATTCTATTGGCTTTCAAAAGCCAATAGGAATTGTCCAGGCTGTCTCTGCCCTGCTGAGCCCGCCAAAAGTCCCATTCTGCAAACGGTGCTGCACCAGTTGAGTAGTCCTCGACTTAACGACCGGTTGGGGGTCGCGGCATTAAAAAGGTTGAGAACCATTGCTCAAAAGGAAAAATGATTGGGAAATACATAGTTGATTCTGAAATTCAGTGTTTCTCAAACTTGGCCATTTGAAGATGGATGGACTTCAACTCCCAGAATTCCTCAGCCAGCTGTGCCAGGTCCACTCATTTTCAAGTGGCCACAGTTGAGAAACACTGCTGAAAAGCATAAAATTAATGTTTTTCAAGTGAAGGAGATGTTTATATGTGAGTATTTATATATCTGCCTCACTCTCCTCTGGCTTTTAAATAGCTATTATTTCAGAATTACTATCTCCTGCTGTAAAGTGGAAGGTGTAGATTTAGTCCAAATCTTTCAGCTGGATTTATTTCTACTCGGTGTCAGAGATACTGGAAAATATAAATTTATTGTCCTCTGCAGCTATACTAAAATACTTACTTTAGTATGCAATCCCTCTGCAGGGACTAGAACACTTCCAAGGTCCCTTCCAACTCTGTAATTCTGCTACTTGCTGTTAAAAACATACAAATAACTTTTTTTTTTTTTTGAAAAAAATATTTTGATTAGGATTTTTCTAGGCAACTTTCCAAATACAGGCAACTTCAACTTATAACAACAGTTGTGACTGGAAATTGCATTGCTAATTGAATCATCATTTGACCATACCTGATTTTGTGACCTTTTTTAGCAAGATTTAAGCAAATCATGCATTTATTAAGAGAATTCCTATTAGTTGCTTATCAGAAGCTGGCTGGGAAGGTTGCAGATAGCAATCACATGACCTTGAGACTGCAACTGTCATGAATATACGCTGGTTGCCAAGCACCTGAATCGTGAACATGTGACATGGGGACGCTGCTACGGTTGTAAGTGTGAGGACTGGTGGTAAGTTTCAGCATTCTTGTATCTTCAAATTCTTGTTAAAGGAATGGTTATAAGTCAAGGGCTACCTTAATGTGCTCTCTTTCTCACATCTTTTGGTGTGAAAGTTTGAGCGGAGACCGCAAACACAAGTAGAGCCTTGCTCACTCTTCAGTGCAATCTGCTTCCATGCACTGCGCCCATGTGTTCTCTTTGAAACGTGTGCAGATTTCTTCTGAATCGTTATAAACAGATACCACGCAACAGTCTGCAAGAATTCAAGCAGCATCCTTTCCCAACGATTGTTCTGAATGTATTTTGTAACTAAAGATGCCAGAGAAAGAACATCTGGTTTCCTGCATTCGCTTTCAGTCAGCTCCCTAGAAGAATGCTAAATACCATTTATTTGTAATCATATAGGGCAATAGGGCTACAAGAAAAGGGTTAAGTATCCCCATTCTCCACTAATTCTAATCTGTGGTATTAAAATTAAACATGAAATAACACACATCAGAATGAACTCTATTCAATTTCTGTTGGAATGGAATCGCAACAATACACAAAACAGCTTGAGAAACAGATACGAAAACCTGGCAAGAGAAAACTGATCAAAAGTCCCTCTATTTTAGTCCTTGGCAGAGTCTTTGATCTCCAGCATCTCCACCAGCTGTTTTCTATCTCTCTGAGTCATCCTCTTTGACTCTCATTCAGAGTAAGCAGAGGATAGATTATTTAGCTATATATTTTAAGCTCTGACCTTTTGCAAAGAGATTTCCTTACAGAGTTCTGAATGTGTTTAGCCCTGTGATATATCTTAATGGTGGGAGTGAAGACCTTGGCAGGGCCCTCAGAACTGATAACTGTTTTAAATAGCCCAATGTTGTATTGAAGTGCTGTTATCTCTTGGTTGGCCTGTGATTGAACATACATATTTCAGGAATATAGGAGCAACAATACCTCTGCAGAGCATGTCCTGCTTAGTATGTTTCCTGCAAAGAAGAACTCAAGGACCTTGATTAAGAGGTTGAGTTAAATAACGCAAGTATATTTTGCCCCAAGTATTTAGAGAAAGGAGTGGTGAATTAGACATTCTGCTACCAACACTGGATCAGTACTGCTACTAATAGGAGACAATGTGTTATAGCTATATAGTACTATATAGTTACCCCAAGACTATATAAAAAAGTATAGATAGTCCTTAACTTACAACCACAACTGAGCCCAAAATTTTTGTTGCTAAGTGAGACAGTTAAGTGAATTTGCCCCATTTTACCACTTTTCTTGCAACAGTAGTTAAATGAATCCCTGCAGTTAAGTTAGTAACACGATTCTTAAGTGAATCTGGTTTTTCACATTGATTTTGCTTATCGGAAGGATACAAATGGTGATCATATGATCCCAGGACACTGCAACTATCATAAATAAGAGTCAGACTGAATTTTGATCACCTGAAAATGCGGATGTTGCAACGGTCGCAAATGTGAAAAATGATCATAAGTCACTTTTTTTCAGGGGTGGCTCTGAATGGTCACTAAATGAACTGTTGTAAGTTGAAGACTACCTGAACTTGAGGTTATCTCCTATAGCCAAATATCAATAGAGATCCTCAGGTTTCAGTACTGAACTGGATGGATCATGCAAAAAAGAGAAAGAAAATAGAAATGAAATTTAGGTGGTATTTATACCTGGAGCTGAGGAATTGATTGACTGGTTGAGTGCAATCAAGTCTTGGTTGACTCTTGGTGGCCATATAGATAGATTTTTCACCATGGGGATCTGCCCCTGAGTAAATCCTTCAGCTTTGCCACCAGTGCATTCATTACTGATGTAACAGTTCATTCACCTTGCTGCTGGTTGCCATCTTCCTCTCTTTCCTTCCACTTTTCCCAGCATTACGGCCTTTTCCAGTTTATTCAATTAATTATGGCTAGGAATGTGCAGAGAATACCTATCAGGCAAGCAAATACATTTCCAATATGACTAGGGCTGAATCTGTACCTCTGCACTCTTTATTAAGTAAATAGGGGAAGAAGAGATCATTAAAAGCTTGAAGATTGGTATGAAAATTACTAAACTGACTCCTGAAAGGCCTGTGATTGTATGATACCAGAAAGGAAAGAAGGAAGGAAAGGAAGGAATTTAAATCTAGTTTATACTATTTATCATAGAACTTTTAGCTGTAGGTCAGGATGTACTTCAACTCCCAAGAGCAAAATAGGAAGAATCTGATCTTTTGCAGACATAAAGAAAAAATTAGAACTATATTATGTAAACTGTTTTGTACCACTGAAGTTTCAAGTAGGGCTTTTTCTCAGACTACTCTGCAAATGCATCAACAGATTCTTTTAAGACGTTTTGTTCAGCATGTTGTAACACTGGAGTGTGTGACACAGAAGTGAGTAGGCAGGATGAAGGTTGGGAAGGCACAGGAGTTCATTTAGGAAACTGTATCTCTATTAAAGCATTATTGTGAAAACACAACCATTCTTTCCACACCCTGCCTCATCACACAGGGTTGATTTTGTGTGTGTGTGTGGGGGGGAGGGAATTGGAATACGCTTCATAATAGTAAAGGTAAAGATAGTCTCAAATCAAAAGGGTGGATGACAGGGTGTGTTTTTAAAAAACGCAACTGAAGCTCCATTTCTTTTATTTAAGTGTTTATCAAATTTAGAGACCACCCATCTTATTCACTGAACAAATCTGGGTGGTGACTTGATCTTGATGTTTTTACTTTGCTTGCCAACAAAGCCACATTCAACTTCTGAGCCAAATTCAGCTTTTGCTGACTACTTGATAAGACCTATCCAGTTTCCTTTAGGTGCTACAAAAATGGTTTGCTACTCCCTTACCTCTTTTGGATGATAATTTTCTCAGCTCCTCAATCTTGCACCAATTACTGGGTGAATAATGAATTGTGCCTTGCTGATACCTTTGTAGACATCTGGTGCAGTTTTACACTTTCTCATAGTAATTGAGCTGCTTCTTATTTACCCTTCAGTCAGTGAATGTCCCATCCAAACAATCTAAGGCTATTTGCGAGATCGCCTACTACCTCATAGTTCCCTACGTCCGGTTAGATCCCACAGGCTGGGCCTCCTTCAGGCCCCGTCGGCCAAGCAGTGCCATTTGGCGGGGCCGTGGAGGAGGGCCTTCTCTGTGATGGCGCCCACGCTTTGGAATCAGCTCCCCCCGGAGATTAGGACCGCTCCCACCCTGTTGGTCTTCCGTAAGCTACTTAAGACCTGGCTTTTCCGGCAGGCCTGGGGTTTATAAAACCTAACCCTTGGATGATTGTCTTTGTACTGTTGTTTTGTTATGTTTTATGTGTTTTTTATTGTTAGCCGCCCAGAGTCCTTCGGGAGTGGGGCGGCTTATAATTTTTATAAATAAATAAATAAATAAATAAGCACAACAAAATGTTCTCTCCAGGAAGAGAGCAGGATAACGGGTTCTTGGGTGAGAAGATGTTTTGCATTCAGATGGTCAGATAAGCCCTGGCATCTCTACCTAGAGATGGAAAATAGGAGCCATCAACATGAAATAGGAGCTATCAACAGTGGTAAGAATAATAGGCTAAATACACCA